ACATCTACTGCTGAGGCCGAATACGTTTGCCTTTCTAAAGCCTCTAATAACTTAATATGGTTCGATGATCTCTTATCTTCCATCTGGACAGAACCCAATTATCCTATTAACATTCATGAGGACAATAAAGCTGCAATAGATATATTAAATTCTGAAGCAATAGGTCAAAGATCACGACATATTGATATTAAATATAAACACGTTAGACAACTATCCAACATGGGTTTTATTAAGGCCTCACATTGTGATACTCATGAACAAGTGGCAGATATATTAACAAAACCGTAACCCACCAATCAACATGTGTATTTATCTTCAAAATTGAATATACATATTTAAATCTATAAATATTCATTTTAACCGTTAGGTATTTTAGAGGGGGATTTGTCACCAAGAAAATATCTAACTGTCTGTGCGTGTGTGTGTGTGTGTGTGTGTGTGTGTGTGTGTGTGTGTATGTATATATATATATATATGGATGAGCTAATCCCCATGATGTGATTTATGTATCCCTCCACTTAACTCCTCCTCATCTTTTGCTCCCTCCCTTGAGTATTTAAGCAGATGTTCCTGTCAGACTGCTTGACTTGTACATAGATCTCCTGTGGAAGAAAACAAGTAAATAAAACAGTGTTTAATTTACAACCTTTGTCTACATATTTATTTGGGCCTGAAAATAAAGAAAAGAAAAACAAGCAACAGGCCATCATCCCTCCTGGCTGTTTCCGCCCCTGAAAGCCTCCCCGGAGCCCCTTTTCTGCCAGAGGCCAAAATTTTCGTGTAGGCTCCGTGAACTGCCAGAGCGCCCACCTGGGAATCAAAGGCGGCACTGGTCAAAGGTGACCCCGAGGCTCCAGTTGCCTCCATCTCCCGCTCACTGACCAGATTCGCATAGCGCCGGTTTTAGTGGGGGTTTCTTTTTGGATTAGGTTGGTAATCTTATTTCTTTGGAATCCGTTGGATGTTAGTACGTTAGTGAGAGTGTGTAGTTTGGTTTTTAGGTGTTGTTCGTCAGCTAAGCGTTTTGTTCTGGAGATGAGTGTCTTGGCTACGGAGTTGATCTGTGCTGGGTGATGGTGTGAGAGTGCGTGCAGATAGTGGTTTGTGTGTGTTTTCTTCTGGTAAATGGTGTGTCCTAGTGAGCCATTGGGTTTTTTGTAGACTAAGACATCCAGGAAGAGAAGTTGGTTGTTAGCTTCTGTTTCCATGGTGAACTGTATTTTGGGGTGTAGGCTGTTGAGGTGTGTGAGGAAGTTGTCCAGTTTTTCTTTCCCGTGTGGCCAGATTATGAAGGTGTTGTCTACGTATCTGAGCCAGAGTTTGGGTTTGTGATCCGATTTTTCTAGAGCTTGGGTTTCAAAGTGTTCCATGTAGAGGTTTGCAATGACAGGTGAGAGGGGTGATCCCATGGGTCATGGGATCACCCCTCTCACTCCTTCTATTTGTTTGTATTTTTGTCTGTTATAGATGAAGTATGTGCTGGATAGGCAGTGGTTGGTCAGATCTAGGATGTGCTTGGGGGGGTTATATTTGTTTTGGATAGCTGTCAAGGCTTCTTTGATTGGCACTTGGGTGAAGAGGGTTATGACATCGAAACTCACAAGTAGGTCGCTGGGCTGTAAGTTTTGTTTCTTTATGATCTCTATGAACTGGAATGAGTTTTTTACCTGTGAGGTGATGCATAGGGCTGTAGTTGTTTGGCGAGAAATTTGGCTAGGTTTTGTAGAGGTGAGCCTATGGAGCTGACTATGAGTCTAAGTGGGGTTCCTTCTTTGTGTATCTCGGGGAAATCATAGAGTTTTGGGCATCTGGATGATTTCTCTCTGGGAATGATTCTTTGCTGGATCTCTTCACTGATGGGGGAGGCTTTTATTTTGGATCTATTGGTTTTTTCCAGGTAGGTGGTGGGATCTGTGTTTAAGGGTTTGTATGTGGAGTCTTGGAGTAGGTTGGTTAATTTGGTTTGGTAGTCAGATGTGTTCATAACCACCGTGGTGTTTCCCTTGTCTTCTGGTAGGATTATTATGCTGGTGTCTTCTTTCAGGTTAAGTAGTGCTGTCTGTTCCTCTTTGGGTAAGTTGCTTTTGGGTGGCTTGCTGGTGCAGAGAATGTTGGTGATTTCAAGTCTGATTCTGTTAGCGTCGTTGGGGTTGATTTTGGTCAGGCTGGTTTCAACTCCGCATATAATGGTTTCAGTGGGGATGTGTTTGGGAGTGACTGCAAAGTTGAATCCTTTGGAAAGGACATTGGTTTCGGCTTTGGTGAGGATCCATGCAAAAAGCAAACCCACACCGATGAAGCACGGCCACAAACCAAAAGCCAGACCACAGCTGCATCATTAGCCACTTTAAATCCCTCCAATCCATACATGAAGCAAACTGACACCCACCATGAAGATGTGGCACGACCACGAACGTGAAGCCAAACAACAGCAATGCAGCTCACCAGCTCAAATCCCCCTGCAACTCAGACCAACATGAGCACAACCAAGCCCCCACCTAAACAGAACACACCCCCATCCAATCAGAGCACAGCCAAACCCCCATCCAATCAGAGCACAGCCAAACCCCCAACCAATCAGAACACACCTCCACCCAATCAGAACACAGCCAAGCTCCCACCCAATCAGTTCACACTCCCACTAGCAGTTAAAAAGGAAGAAACAGCTGCGATCTCACATTGCTCCTAGAAGCACGAAGCCAAAAAGACCAGCCTGAAGATGACGAATGTATATATATATATAATTTCACAGGCTATGCCATCATTGAAGAATAAACCAAAAAATAGAGAAAAATGAATTGGATAAAAATGAAATAAATGCAGTAGTGTAAGGCATGTGACAAGGCAGTCAGCACCTCTTCTCCTTTAGGACATCATTATCACGAATGGTTTATTTATTTTGTATAGATGCTTATCCTGTCTTTATTACTTTATAAGGAACTCAAGGTGGAGAACTTATGTAATATTCCTTCTTCCACTTAAGTTTCCCCACAACCAGTGGTGGGATTCTGCCGGTTCTAGGGGGTTCGGCCGAACCCTTTGTTAAATTGCTGGCTCGCCCCGCCCCTCCGCACCACTATTTATTGCCAATAAATAGTGGTGGGCGAGGGGCAGGCGAACCAGCAATTTAACAAAGGGTTCGGTGTTTTTTTATAATTTTATTGGCCCGCGGAGCTTCAGCATAGGCTAATTAGCCCTTGCTTAGATCAGTTCCCGACTCTCAGCTGATTTGCTCTCAGCTGTTTTGCTCAGGGCTCTGCTGCTTGCTTGCAAAGAGTGCTGATTTCTTTTCCCCTAGCTATGCTGAAAAACGAAACAGAAAGTAAAGCAGGCTGTTGGCTTTGCTGTTGTTGCAACGTGGCAAAATGAGGCAGAGAGAGATTTCTTTTTCTTTTTCCTCACCAAAAAAGGTAGGTGCAAACAATGGGAAATTTAGGGGAAAAGAGGAGAGTTCAAGATTTTAAAACACAAAAGAAAAAAAGCTCTATTTAACTAGGGAATTGTAATAATTGAGATACTATTAATTGTATATTGTGTTGAAAGCAGAAATGGTTAAGTTGTGGTTTGGAGGAATATATGGGGGAAATTATTTGGTTTATTATTATTGGTAAATATAATTAATTGATTTGTAAGAAATTGGATTGCATGGAAATAATTGGAATATTCATGTTCATATTGATTAATATACAAAAAAGGTAGTTATATAACTAATTGATTTATATTAAAATGTTGAATTTATATTAAACAACTGTAATATTACATAATTAATCAATGTGAGGATGGATATAAAAATAGATGACAATGGGAAGGGGTATAATATAGAATAGAAGGGAAAAAATGAATTTGATTAAGATTAGAGATGAAGATGAAGGGTAATATTGGTTTTTTACAAAAATAGATGAGGAATAAATATGGCAAAAAAGGAAATATAGAAATTGTAAATTTAATTGAAATGACTAAACACTGTTTAAATTTGTGAACCGGCCAAATACTCTGTTCAAAGAAAATACATTGTATGTTTGTATGTGTGTTTCTAATTATTGTTATTTATTCATATTTGTTCTCTTTTATTCTTTAAAGTTTAACAATTCATTCTTTATCTTAATATCTTTATATTTGTTTGGGGTTGGCTTTCTTCCCTTTCATCTTTTTTATTGTACAGCAATCTTTCTCCTCAAACCTACCACCTCTCTCTTTTCTTTCCTTCTTACTTTCTCTTCCTCCCCTTCTTCTTCTCCTCCCTTCCTCTTCCTTTCTCCTTCTCCTCCTCTCTTCCTCCCTCTCTTACCCTCACTCCTACTTCCCTTCCCTTCCTTCATCCCTCTCTATTTCTGTATCCTTTTATGCATATGGACTACTCAGAGGGCTGAAAAAATTATTTCTGACTGGTCCTCGCACTTTTGACCAGTCCTCGAATTTACGACTGTCCTCACATTTTACGTTTTTGCCCTATCTTGTCACCATGGTGAAGAGAAGCAGTTGTGAAATGAGTGACACAGTTAAGAATGCCACAAAGGGCATAAATGTGAGGATGGTCATAAGCGCAAGGACCGGTCAAAAGTGCGAGGACCAGTCAGAAATGACTTTTTTCAGCCCTCTGTAGTCCCTATGCAGATAGCCACGCCCACCCGGTCACATGACCAGCTAGCCACGCCTACCCAGTCACATGATCACCAAGCCACACCCCCAACTAAGCCACGCCCACAGAACCGGTTGTTAAAAAAATTGAATCCCACCACTGCCCACAACCATAATCTAAGAAGTGGTTTGGGCTGGGAGAGAGTGACTGGTCACTCAGCCATTTTTTCCAAGCCTAAAATGGAACTAGAACTCAGGGTCTCTTGGTTTCTAGGCCAGCACCTTAATAACTACTTTGTTTAAAAAGCCATAAAAATTCACTTCCAGCCTAACTTCTTTCGTGGAGTTTTGGGGAGAAAAGAAGACCCTGACACGTTTATTGAAGGATAAGGGGAATGAACAGTGTCTCAATCGATCACAGAACTCCATTTATGTTTCTGCCCCGGGCATCCCAACCATTCAGGGATGTTGTGGAAGCCAAGCGTGAAATGCTAAACTCCTCGCTCGGCGGGAAATTTGCCACAAGAGGCGTAGTTTATAGGAAGGTCGCATTCTCCGCCGCGTCGTCAGACTTTCTTCCGGCCTTCTGCTTCCGGGGTTTCGGGTTGTGCGGGAGAGGGTGGAGCCTCACCTCAGTCGCGGCTTGGGAATCAGCCGACGAGGGTGACGCCGCTGCTGCCGCCATTATGTCCGGCAGTGGTGGCACCCTCGCTGCCGATTCTGCCCCGGTCCCCACCGCCGCCACTTCTCCTCCCGAACAGCCACCTCCCCCCCCCCCGCCGCCTCCCCCGCCTCCCCCACCACAGCCTCCCCCACCGCCGCCGCCGGGGAACTCCGCGGGCGCCGGCGAGCCAGAGCTGGTGTCGCTCATCCTGAATCGTCTCAAGAGTCAAGGCCTTTTCGACCAGTTCCGCCGAGATTGCCTGGCCGACGTGGACACCAAGGTGGGAAGCTGCGGGTCTGACCGTCTCCCTCCCCGTTTGGTCTCTTGTCCGAAAAACGATCGTCCAGGGGGTCTGAGTCCTTTCCGGAGCTTGCGATTTTCTTAGGAACGCTTTTCCCCGCGCTGAACCTGAAGAGCCCCTACCTTAATTAGTCGAGTCCCGTTACTCATCGATCTCCTTTCCCACTCCCCATAACGTAGGCCTGCTATCTCCTATATGAGCAGCTCTGATCTTAGCGGTGTTCCACATGCCTAATTTTGGGCTTATTTAACTGGCTGCTCAGTGGGCAGCTGGCTTCCGCTGCTTAATTCACCCAGAAGCATTTTGCAAGTCTGGATAGATACTGATTGCAGATGCGTTTTGTTAAAAAAAAGTGGGAGGGAGGAAGGAAAAACCGTATTTAACCTGACAGGAAAAACATCAACAGCAATCGGATGCCTCTGAAAATACATACGTGCGGTTCAAAGGGAGAGTCTTTTCCTGATATGCAGGGCCGGATTTAGATGAAAAGAGGCCCTAGGCTATTCCACTTATGAGGCCCTTTCACCTATAGTGAAAGTGTAATTTTAATTTTGCTAACAATTTGAATGTAGGCCCTCTTGATCTTGAGGCCCTAGGCTGAAGCCTAGTTAGCCTATAGGAAAATCCGGCCCTGCTGATATGGCATCTTTGAACAGGGAAGATATATCTCCCTGATTTAGCAATAAAAGTGTCATTAATTGTGTTTTAAATCGGCTAAACGAGAGATAAGCATTTCTGTTTCCCTATAGCTGACAGACAGACAGATTCAACTCTCTTTTCAAGAACTGGGCTGTTTTATATTTGGATCCTTAGAATTGGACTTGGATGCTGAGTAGATAATTTCTGGGCTTTATTAACAGAAAATATTACAGAAGAGACTAAGTTTTCTCATAGTCTTTCCTAGATATATTTGAACAACTTGTCTACTGCCCTGATTCTAGTTTCAATATAATGCTGCCATATTTTACAGACTAAATTTTAGAATTGGTGAAACATACAAGTATTTTTACACATTCAGAGTATATATAATTATAATAGTGTTTTCCAATGTATCATGAGCACTATTTTGGATAATTATATATTGTCAGTGTAGTACCCATGTGCTATTCTGATTCTATCACCCATTTGGTCCTGGTCTTGGAAGTTCAAGGTTAGTTACTGAGATTGAAAAATAGTAAATTTCAACAAAACTAATGTTGCATGGAGGATGAATTAATTAACTCTTGTTGACTTGTAAAAATACAGACACATCAACCTTTGCAAAAATAGGACAATTGATGTTACTCTTAATTTAAGAGTAAAATTAAGTTTTTCTTAATTTAAATATTTTACATCAAATTATAAACTATCTTGTGAATCACTTCATACAATGATTGGATAAAAATACATATGATTTAAGATCTATTGGACAGAATTTATTTTTGGAATTATTGTCCGAAAAGTGCTTTTCAAAAGGGAACTGGACTTTCTTTGTTTTTTTTTTCCTGAGTTCCTGAGTCAAAACTAAAAAACTTGTTGGATGAGAAGCAAAACATTTTTTTAAAGACAAGTTTTATTACATTTTTCTTTTACATACATATTTTATGAACAGAGCATTGACTGGGTCACATCTTTTACAATTTATAACATAATTATATATTGATTTTCTATTCCAATCATCTTCTTTTTTTTAATTTATTTTTATATGCCGCCCTTCTCCGGAGACTCAGGGCGGTTTACAATGCATTAAGCAATAATAATATTGCTAATATTCTTTTTTCTCTATTTTTATTTTATCTTAATCTCTTCTTAATATATAAACAGTATCACCATCCGCCCTTCAAATCCTAATTTCTTAGCATTCCTTCAATTAATTATCGTATTTCTCCATTTATAAAATATACTTCTTATAATCCCCATCACATTTTTGGTTATAAACAATAAACTTCATCTTATTCAATTCTTACATTGAAACCCTTTAACTTGATTGATCTTCCACATGTTATCTTATCTCTTCTTAATACATAATAAGCAATATTACTCTCCACCCTTAATTCCTGACTTCTATTATAGTATCCATTAATTATTATCAAAATCCCCATCACACTTTTTTTATTTCAATTTTGTATCTTAATTTCAATTATTTTCATAATTAAACTTAATTACCACTTCATATTTCATCTGCTCCATTTTACAATACACAATAAACATCATCATATTTACTTTTTACATTCACAATTACTATTATTAATACAATTCCTTTAGATCTACTAATATATATCTTTAATTCCCTTCCTCCTTCCCTCTATTCTTCCCCTTTTAGCCATTTTCTCCTGGTCTCACCAGAATTCCACTTCTTAATGATTTTCTCCTTTCATCCCATTTTCTTATCTTCTACTTCTTTTTTTATTTTTGTATTTATTATATCTTTTCTCCTGAATCCTTTATCTAACTTTTGAGTCCATCACTTGCATAGTTCACCCCTGCTGTTACCCAGTCTTTTCCCATTTCCTTTTCTTCCCTTAGATTGCTTTTTTTTTTTTTTTTGGAAAATATTCCCCCATCCATTCTTTTTTTGCCACTGTAAATCCCAGTGTAATCATCTAACATTTTGCCTTCAATTTGTTTTCCTTCAATATCATTTTCTTGTTTCTCATTTATATTCTCTTATTTCCTGTTTTGTGTGCTCTAACAAAGTTTCTGACTTTTTATTGCCCTTCATTGATTCACGCATCTCAAGTCTTCACACATCCAAGCCTCCATTATTATTAGTTTAAAAGATTATTAGAATTTCCACTTATATTTAATTAAAATTTTAGTCCATATAGTCTCTTTTTTATTTCTAGATAATATCCAGTACAAATGTTTGTCCAATCCACTCCAACTTAAAGCTTTATTATTGTCCACCACCTTTAGAAGTCGAGACCAAGCAGCTTGGAACAAAACAAATACTCCTTAAAATTTCTCACAACTTTTGTAGTGATCAAGGTCACTGTAGTAATTTCCTTGAATTTTCAAGTCAGTTGTTGTAGTGCTTTCTTTCCACCAGCAAATGTCTCTCTCCAATCCACACTTCTCAGAATAACAAATTATCCAGTTTACAAAAGTATTTTAAATCCACATAGAAAATACTTTCTCACAAATTGCTTTTCCTCTTATTGTTTTTAATTTCTCCAAATTCAGTTTTAAATCCAGTTGTAAAATTTTCTTTTTTGGGCTTTAATATGTTAACCTCCTCTTTGTTCTTCCTTCATACTTCAAAACTGTCAACATTCTTTCAAATCTTCATTAAAAAATACTTTCCCTCAGGCTTCCTTATATTGGTTTTAATTTCTCCAAGTCCAATTTTAAATCCAAATATATAGTTTTCTTTTCTGGGCTTTAACACTTTGACTTCCTCTTCGTTCTTTTCCCTCCATTAAAATTCCCAAGTGCCAATTAGCCTCTTGTTTCCTTGCTGGGATCTTTAAAAGATTTTTTTAAAAGAAATTTCCTTTTTTACCTGTGAGTTGGCCAATCACTCACCCGGTACCATTATTCCGTCCAAACACCGCTCCTGCACAAAATCTTATTCAGGTTGCCCCAGCTTCAAAGTAGTCATTTTTAATGCCCCCCCCCCGGCCACTGGATCGAAGAGCTACCTCCGACCTTCCAAGGAACTTGCCTGTTCCTCTTGGTCGTCTGAGGCTCCTCTCCTTCTTTACCATCCCTACAAGACTGTTCTGGTCCGAAGACCCCTTGACAGTGGTTTGTCTGGCTGGATTTTCGCTGGGCTCATTGGAGCCCGCTAATTTCTAGCCAGTCTCGCTGCGACGCTTCCAGTTTCCAGAAGCAAAATATTTTCAAGGGGGAAAAAAAACCCCAGGAAAGTCCTGTTGCCTTTTGAAAAGCATCCTTGGGACAACCATGACCTGGATGATTGAGAATCTCCTTAGATGTGTTGGAATTATTAAAATCATGAAATTATTTTCCTATCACAAAGGAGTAAAGAGGGCAACAAATTGGAGCTTCCTTTAACAATTTCTCAATATAATTGCTCTTTCTCAATATAATAGATCTATGATGTAAACTTGTGAAAGACTTTGTAAACTTGTATAAGACTTTGGAGAAAAATCTAACTTTCTTTTCAAGTAAATAGCATTGGGCTTCTAATTACGTTTTGCCTCCAAGGAACATTCAGATATCACAATGTTTGGTAATTGAAATATTTGCCTCCATTTTTCAGAACTTTCGGCAATGAAGTTTTTAAAAAGTGTGTTTTCTTAATCTGCAATGGATTTTTTCCTAGTTAGATAACCCTGGAATTACTACAGTGTATACTCCCTCTACTATTTCTGTATTGTTTTAAGCTAAGATTCTTAAATGTTTGTCTCCACTGATGAGAATGTGAAGGAATGTTATTCAAGGAGGCTTCACAAGGTATCTGTTTCTTTTTTAGCCTGCATATCAGAATTTAAGGCAGCGGGTGGACAATTTTGTTTCCAACCATCTAGCAACTCATACATGGAGTCCTCATTTGAACAAGAACCAATTAAGAAATAATATCAGGCAGCAGGTTCTTAAGTAAGTTTTACAAATTGTCCTCTATGATCAACTGCCCACCACTTGCACAAATGGAGCTTTGTGTGCTTGCCCACTGCTTGCATGGCCCAGTTCTCAACAGACTGCAGCCCAGTACTGGGCCATGAACCAAGGGTTGCAGACCCCTGCAATATAGTACTGCTGGTGAATGAAAACAGAACTTATTTATAGATGTTAATGATTGAACGTTCATTTGTATCAACCTACTGGTATATCATTACATTGATTTTTCTGAAGTAACTCGGGTTATTATAGTATGATTTTTATGATCTTCATTAATTTGCTTTTTTTACTTGAATAGTTGTAATATATGGTCAGTGATCTCCAATTCACTGCCCAAAGCACCTCTGTAAGGAAAATGGGCAGTTTAGAAATAGGAAATATAAATAAATAAAATTTAAAAGTCTCATTTTCTGGGATGGTATAAGAACTCTTCCTTGAGCAGGGGATTAGAAGATTTCCAAGCTCCCTTCCAGCCCTGTGATACTATGATTCAGTGATGCTGAAACAGTATTCTAAGCAGGGTAGATTTAAATCACGATTTAAATCACTAGTCAGTAAGGCTTGGTTTAAATCATAGTTTTCTACATAAAGGCTAATTCTTGCTGGTATAACTTTAATATGCAAGTAGATGAAGATTTTTAGAATAACAACTTTTCATATTAGTTTTTTTAATCCCCAGTTTAATAGGTTAATCATTCATATTTGGACAACTTTTCTGTTGTACTTAGGAAGGAGAAAAATAATCATTACCTTAAAAATAACAATTTAAATAGATTTATTCAACTGAAACAATAACATTACAGCATATGTTATTTGCTTAAACAAACATCCATGTTTGTTAGCTAATTTGGCTAAACAAAATATATATATTTTAAGAAACTTAGACTGTCAGCACAGCCTACACATGAAAAACTTAAACACTGTCCTCTGTAGCTCACTCGTCATCTTCATCATCTTCTTTGTTCATAATCTGGAAAAGAAAAACAAGCTTTCCTGCTTTATCGGGTCCCAAACGATTTCTCAATTTAGAATGAATGAGTCCAAAGGAAGAGAATATTCTTTCAACGCCTGCAGAAGAAGCTACTGCTGTTAAAAGTGAAATCATTACTTGAACAGTCTCTAAATCCAAGTGCTTAAGTGACTTCCACCAGTTCACTGGTGTGACTTTCTTTAAAATATCTTCAGCAAACATATATTTCTTGAATGGTTCCCCCTTAGCTTTGAAGTTTATTATAGTTGGCATTACAGATGGATGATTGCTGGATACCCATGTCATAGCTAACTCCTCTTCCTCAGCACTTAAGTTTTGACCCTGATACTGGTTATTGACAATATTTGCCAAAAAATGAGCTGGAGACAGTACTTGTCCCATTCGTTTTTTTAATGCTTGTAATTTAATTCTGTCCATGTGTAGTTCTGTTTTTAAGTGTTCACTCAGTTCCTTCCAAATTTCAACAGCATCAGCAATAAAACAGCTATTTTTCTGTATTTTGTTTAAAGCTTCAGAGATGGGTTTCAGGATGCTCAGCATATGTTCAACATTTCTCTTAAGCCCAATGTTGAGGATTTTGGCCGTGACAGTGCCATCTATTTTATCTCGATTTTCTTCACAAACTGTCATCAGAATAGGCCAGTTCTTGATATACTGCTCAAAACAGTCCACCAGAGTTCCATCTAACATCTTGTGGGAGCATTAGCTTGGTTCCACCCATCCTTTTCAGAGCTGCTGCAGCAAAATGATTGTTACGGAAGTATTTAGCAATTTCAACAACATTAGTCTTTATTTCTGGAACACTTAAGTCTTTGGCTAAGAGGTGCAGCAAATGAGCACTGCAACCATATGTTATTAGCTTTGTATTCCCTTCCTGCTCTTCTAAATTTCTTCTCATCTTGGATACATTTGCAGCATTGTCTGTGACCAAACTGCGTACTAGACATTTGAATTTTTGTTCACATGTTATTATAGCTTTTACTGCCACTTCTTGTATAAGTATTCTGCTGTGTGTGCATTTCCTGACATATCAATTGTTTGTGCAAGGAAGACTTTCCCTTCTTCTGTTGTTATACAAGCACATACAATAGGATCATTGTGGACATTACTCCACCCATCAATACTTAGGTTAACAATTCTACCCTCCAGAGCTGTTGCACATTGCTCCATTTCTCTGTCATACACTTTATCCAGCAGTTTCCCTGCAACATCTGCTCTGCTGGGTGGACTGTATCCTGGTCTCAGTAACTGAACCATATTAATGAAATGTGGGTTCTCAGTCAGACTGAAAGAAGAGTTCGTTGCATAAACAAACTGGGCAATTTTTTCATCAATTAACACTTTTTCTAATCTGCTAGTTTTTATCACAAACTTATCTATGGTGGTTCCAGGAGGGGAGGGTTTTTTCTTTCTTTTAAGTGATAGTGATATGTGGCTGTGGGTGTCTGATGATGATGATGCTAATGAAGCACTATCCTGGATGGATAGCTCTGAAACTGTAGAACAGGAGGATGGTGATCTTGAAGGTGGATAGTTTCCAGAATCCATGAATTCCCCTAAACAAAAAAGTCAATGCTGTTATTTTATTGTTTATACAATTTCTGCTTATTGTACACAGCACTGCCCCAAAAGGAATATTTGCTTTTCTTCATAACTGTACCAAATGACAGTAACATGCAGTAATAATAAGAAATATAATTTTGCTCAAACATGACAGTTCAAGACAGTCTTTAGAAATATGATTCAATAAAAATGTTTACCAATCTGAAGATCCTGCCTGTTCAAATGTGTTTCTTTGGTCATCTTCATCACAGCACTTCTCATGATGTTGCCTCATTCGGGCCACCAGGCCTTGCATTTCTTTGTTGCAGTGTTTGCAGTTTGCACGCATGCCTGTTTTACCGATAGGTAAAGGAACTTCATTAAAATATTGTCAAACTGGGTCTCTTTTACGGCCTGCTGCCATTATAGGTTTTTTCCTCCAAGGAAAGAATGTGATAAACCTCAGGTCATACACACAAAAAGATCCAAAGACTTGTCTGTCTGTGGCTGTGCAGTATTGTGCTCAGAAAGTTTCACTTTCATTTTGTACTGCTTGTCTGCTTGCCCCTTCCTCCTCACACTTAGTTTCACTTTCTTCTTGTGCAGATCTATTCCACTCCAAACAATCAGAAAAATATTGTTTCTATTCTATTCACTGAACTTTTTGAAACTTAGCACTGAAGGGGTTGATTCTGTATTCATAGGTTTGTAGAACAATACGATTAAGGTCTTTTTCTCAACTCTGTTCATGTTATAACATTTTTGCTGTGAAGAAGAGGCATGTGATCTCTGCTGAGTCAAATTCAGTTTTAAGAACTGCAAAAGTAAACCAAGCATCTGTGATAATATCTTGTAGGCAGAGAAATTGCCCAATAATCTTACAAAAACCTCTGGAAGAACATGACATTGTGAATGGGTTAATGGAATTTATTTACCAAAAAAATTAAACATATACAGCCTTATTCTACATAATTAAAAAACTAATCTTTATTTCAAGATGGAATAACCTTTGGATGGTAATATATTTTCCTCAAAAAGCATTTTATTTAAAAAAAATCAGATTTAAATCAAAAAAATCCGATTTAAATAAAAAAAATCTGATTTTTTTGATTTTTTTAAAAAAATCATTGATTTTTATCCACCCTGACTAAGGATATATTAAATGAGATAATGAAAATTTTAGAAAAGCAACAATAATACCTTAGCTATTATTGAGTTAAATTTTTATTATTTCTGAATACTATTTGCATAAATATTTGTTGGAATTATTCAACTATCAATCTGTGACAGAAATAGATAGCCTTGTCAACTGCTACAAAAAGAAAATCATTTTTATTTGTGGTGCCTCAGTTATAGTGATTTAAGGAAATGTAGATTATAACAAACATCTTTTAGAAAAACTTGACAGAAAATATGCAATATATTATACTTCACAAAGAGAAAGGAAACATGCAAAAATGTTTGCATGAACGGAATAAGTTCTCTTCACGAAAGCAAATCTGTATTAATTTTTGAACTACATTATATTTTAAAGGAGAAATTTAGTGAATCTAAAGTGTAAGAATTATCAATTTTATAAAACCAGGATTTAAATTGTCTTAATTTAAATTGATCTATGTCAGGTGTCAAACTCAAGGCTATGGGCCCCCGAACTCCATTTTTGCTGGCAGAGGGCTAGCAAAACAAACTAAAAACAAAGCAAAAGGAGAAATGTTTCCCCTTTTGCAGTTGAGCATGCAAGAAAGGACAGGAAAGGAGAAAGGGAAAGAGAAAAGAAAGAAGATGGGAAGAGAGCAAGGAAGGAAAAATAAGGAAAGAGGAAAGGAAGAAATGAAGAGGGAAAGAGAAGGAAGGAAGGAGATTATAATGAGAGTGAGGGAGGGTCTGAGTGAACTCCTGCCTTAGCACTTGGCCACCACAGGTGTCCCCAACATGAGTGACATTGAGCTGGCCATGTCCCCCCAACCCCCGCAAGGTCAAACACAACCCTGATGTGGTCCTCAGAGAAATTGAGTTTGACATCCCTGATCTATGTGGATGAATTGAATCCCTTCCTTGTCCAATATTTTGCACTGTTTTTCCTAGGATATCTGGGAGTTCTCTTGAATTCTTCATTATATTCTCTTGTGATATATGTAAATAATGATTCTAATCTACCGTGTAATCTTGTTAAGATTACCAAAAATATCCATAGAAGAGACTTAATATAAATTAGCATTAATATGTTCCCCTTCTTGCATAAATTCTTATATTGATTGTGTTAAAGTAATTGTGTTAGCTGTGATAGATAAATTATATTGTCATTTCATTTCAGATCTGGAATGTTAGAATCTGGTATTGACAGAATAATTTCTCAAGTCGTGGATCCAAAGATCAACCACATATTCAGGCCACAGGTAGAAAAGGCTGTCCATGAATTTTTAGCCACAATGAATCACCAAGAAGAGACCAATCCCAGCTTTGCCCTGCCTGAAGAGAAATTAGAACCTTCTGTTTTGCTGCAAGGTATTTCTTCTCTCTTCCCTTGGCAAAATGAATATGCTTTTAATCTTTGGGTTTTAAAAAGGTGAGTGTAAGGAATCAAGAGTTGAAGTAATCTCTCCTAATCACAGGCATACATTCAAATGATGTCATTGAAACTAATTTCCAAATTAATGTGCTAAAGGGAAAATAATTTCTTTATCAACAGAGGCTTTGATATTATGGTACCTCTTTGGAGGCATCCCAACCTAATTACATCTGTCCAGTCTGGATATAGTAATAGCTGGGTTTATTTTCTAGAGATAGCCTTCCTACTGAAAACTGTGGTTTATGGAAAACTACTCCCAGCTTCTGCCATTGTCTCAATTTTCAGAGTCAAATTGCAAGCTTCTATTTTAGGAATGTGTATTGTTCCAGTATTGTTAGAATCCTCCCCTTTTTTTCAGATTGCTGTATCACAAGCATTTCTCTTTTTTTGAATTAAATTCCAGTGTATCCATCCCAAAAAATTCCTCAGTAACCTATTCTTGAATTCATGGGGATTAGGATATGGAAGATTCAAATAAATCTGTATATCATTCATTGGCTGATTGATATTGCAGTTGAAGCTGATGAGGATCATATTTAGGCTGTCAAAGTTACTGAGATTCCAGATCAGTCAGCAAGATTTGACCATGGTGGGGGGGTGGGGGTGGGGTCAGAGTGGAAGATGGAGTATAGGCAAAAAATTCAATTGTCTTTGTAATATTTATTGCCTTTTTCTTCCACCATCATCACTGTCACATCATTCAACTGATACAGTAATCACTCATTTCTGAATGACCTTTCTTTTCTTCAGCCTATTCATACTCATTCCCAAAAAGATATTAAGGTTTGCACCTGCTGTTGTTCCCCTTTAACCAACTTTATCTCCAAGGTAGCCGGCATGGTCACTGATGTAGTGTTGGAGACTTCAAAAATGATGTTCCTTAGCAACTTCTACTTGTCAAGGCTAACTCTAGACTTCAGGGTCTCTATGACAGTCATAAGGCTTTAATATGTTGCAGGACTAACACATTAAAGAAGGCATGTTCTTGTTTTGAAAGTAATCATTAATAGTCTTTGCTCTCTAATTAACTTTGGAGGTGAGCTCTCACCTGCTTCTAAGATATTGTTAGGAGGATCTGCCTCCAGAGTCGTAGATTCTTGAATGCTGTAGGAATTTTCCAAGTCATAGGACTTAAGATTCTGTTGAAACTCTAGTCTAGCTATGGGGATGAGATGAGCACTGATAAATTCCTTGGATCTCAAGAGAAACAGCTTAAAGGTTAGATGGTTAGAGTGCAAGTGACAGAAATCTTGGCACAAAGTTGATCAAATGTAGGTTAGAGCACATTATCTCATGATAATGGTGGGACGGACCATCTCTCATTTGACCTTATGACTCTGGTTTGGGTCACCTTGAAAGGGCGGCCTTTAAGACTTTTTTCCCTACCATTGAATAGACTTATAATCACAAGACTTCCCATTGTCATGATAGGATGATGATGTCCCGATGTTCTGATGTTTTTAGCATATTGTCTTCTCTTTAACATCTTTTCCTCCCTTATTTAATCTACCTGTTTTTACCATCTCTAACACCCTTTAATAGAAAATGATCCTTCATCACTCTCAGCTCATTACTATTCTTTAATGTATTCAACTGCGGAGTTCCTTGCACTGCGAGACTCCCCCCTCTCGCAGGTTTGGCCCTCTCAACTATTGAGGGCTGCTCTTGATGACGGGTTTTGGAACCCCGAGAGGTGGTACGCTAAAAAACGGAAACTCGGGGGTTTTTTAAATAGATTTTTAGATCCAATTTTAAGGGGATCTGGGAGGAGGGTGGTTTTTAATAATAAAAATGAGACTGGGGGGTCTCTTAAGGATCAACAGCCATGCCATTTTGACAGTCCCAGCGGGTTGGGGAGGTTGGGAGTTGTAGGAGATACTCGGAGGAGGGTGGGACAAGCTATACCTGTGATGGTGGGAAGGGGCAGAAGAAATCGAAGTAGGGGTGGGGAGCATCACACCAGATGCATTCGGATAGTGACTTGCTCCCATACCTCCTGCTCACCCTGCTTTCCTGGGGATATGAGAGTGAAGGACCCTGGTTTCCGTCTGATATATGTGAATGCCAGGTCCGTGATGAATAAGGCTCTTCTCATACAAGATCTTATTGATGAGGAGGGTGCAGACCTGGCCTGTATCACGGAGACCTGGTTGGGGCAAGAGGGGGGAATCCCTCTCTCTGATTTATGCCCCTCAGGCTTTCGTGTCCTGCACCAGCAGCGACACCAGGGAAGGGGCGGGGGTGGTGGCAGTAGTTGTTAGAGAAAGTCTGAGTCCTAGGGAGGTCACTGTCCCTCAGATAGGCGGGTGTGAATCTCTTCTATTGAAGTGGGACCCTGGAGTTCAGTGAGGCTTGTTGGTCACATACCTATCTCCCAGCTATGTTGCCACAACCCTGCCCGCACTGCTCGATGTCTTGTCTGAGGTGGCATTTGAACTCCCCAGCCTTTTAGTTGTGGGAGATTTTAATCTGCCTTCAATTGGTGAGTCATCTGAGACAGTCCAGGAGTTCATGGCCTCCATGGCAGCCATGGACCTGACTCAGGTTATTCAGGGCCCAACTCATAGGGGAGGACACACACTCGACTTGGTTTTTCTCTCTGGGCAGTGGATAAATGGTCATAGTAAGGGGGAACTTTCCATCACTCCCCTGTCATGGACTGACTATTCCCTTCTTAGACTAGACTTTCAATCTGCCAACCCATGCCGCTGGGAGACGGGACCCATAAAATGGTTCCGCCCTAGGCGCCTGATAGACCCAGAAAGGTTCTTGAAGGAGCTTGGGACATTCCCCACCTCTCAATCCTGCGATTCAGCTGAGACTCTGGTGGCATCCTGGGAACGGGTGGCTACCGACGCCTTGGACAGAATTGCACTTTTGCCGCCTCTAACCCGATGCAGATCCCGGATTGCTCCTTGGTTTTCCATGGAGCTCCGGGAAATGAAACGTCGGAAAAGACGCTTAGAGGAGAGTTGGAGGTCCGATCTGAATCTGACCGAACACAGTTAAGAACCCATATTAGGTCTTATCTAGTGGCGATGGAAGCAGCGAAACGTCACTACTTTGTCGCCCTCATTGCATCTGCAGAAAACCACCCAGCGGCCCTGTTTCATGTGACCCGCTCCCTCCTCAATCAGGGAGCGAGGGAAGATCCTTTGCAGGACAGAGCTGAGGATTTTGTATAGTTTCTGCATGATAAAATCGCTCAGATCTGGATCGGATTGGACTCTGACTGAGCAGAATCCAATCGGGAGACTAGGGTGGGTCTTGAGAATAATATCTGGATTGAGTTTGACCCTGTTTCTGTCAAGTAAGTGGACAGGATTGTGGGCAAACTTAGTTCCTCCACTTGCTTATTGGACCCTTGTCCCTCCTGGTTGGTTTCGGCTGCCAGAGAGGTGACTAGAGACTGGATCCAGGCAATTGTCAATGCTTCATTGAGAGAGGGGAACTTCCCCGCCTCTCTTAAGGAGGCGGTGGTTCAACCTCTCCTCAAGAAGCCTTCCCTGGATCCAGACTCACTTAATAACTATCGTCCCGTCTCCAACCTTCGTTTCATCGCGAAGGTTGTTGAGACTGTAGTGGCTCAACAGCTCCCACAATTCCTGGAGGAAACGGAATACCTTTACCCGTACCAATCAGGCTTCCGACACGGTCACAGCACGGAAACGGCATTGGTCGCTCTGGTGAATGATCTCTGGCGAGCTCAGGATGGGGGTTGTTCCTCCATCCTGGTCCTACTTGACCTCTCAGCGGCTTTTGATACCATCGACCATGTATCCTACTGCAGTGACTTGTGGGGTTAGGGGTGGGAGGCACTGTTTTACGGTGGTTTTCCTCCTACCTCTCGGGTCGCTTTCAGTTTGTATGGGTGGGAGGGCAGAGATCCACCCCGAGGCCCCTTAATTGTGGGGTGCCTCAGGGGTCGGTTCTCTCCCCCCTGCTCTTTAACATCTATATGAAGCCACTGGGTAAGATCATTCGTGGCTTTGGGGTGAGATATCATCAATATGCTGATGATACCCAATTATACATCTACACCCCAGACTACCCCAGAGATGCCCTTTCCATGATGTCCCGTTGCCTGGAGGAGGTACGGGCCTGGATGGGCAGAAACAGACTCAAACTCAATCCCTCTTAAGACTGAGTGGCTGTGGATGCCGGCATTTCGGGTTTCAGAGGCTCCATCACTTTTGATAGATGGGGAAAAACTTGCACCCGTTGATAGGGCTCGCAACTTGGGTGTCCTCCTGGATGCTCGGCTATCCCTAGAAGACCATCTAACGGCCGTGACCAGGGGGGCCTTCGCACAGGTTCGCCTGGTGCGCCAGTTGCGCCCTTTCCTGGACCAAGATGACCTTCCCACAGTCACTCATGCCCTGGTTACTTCCTGCTTGGATTACTGCAATTCCCTCTACATGGGCCTGCCCCTGAGATGCACCCGGAGACTCCAGCTGATCCAGAATGCAGCTGCACGGGTTGTTATGGGAGCCCCTCGTTACTCCCATATAACACTCCTCCTGCGTGAGCTGCACTGGTTACCAGTGGTTCTCTGGGTACGCTTCAAGGTGCTAGTCCTCACCTATAAGGCCCTTCATGACTTAGGTCTGGGATATTTGCATGACCTTCTCCTGCCTGCCTCTCACCGTCCTGTTCGCTCACATAGGGCCGCTCTCCTCAGGGTTCCGATGGCGAGCCAATGTCACCTTCCTGTGCCCAGAGATAGGGCGTTCTCTGTGGGTGCTCCCACCCTCTGGAATGAATTACCTACTGAGCTCCGGATGGCTCCTGATCTCCACTCCTTCCGTCGGGACTTGAAGACTTGGCTTTTCAAACAAATAGGCTGAGACTGATTCCGGGCTTTATTATTTACTACTAATTAATTATTTGGATTAAATTATGATTTTATTGTACTTGTTTCTTAACTTGTATTTGCCGCCCTGAGTCCTTCGGGAGAATGGCGGCATATAAATACATTTAATTAATTAATTAATTAATTAATTAATTAATTAATTAATTAATAGGGGTTTAGGACGTTTAAGTGCCAACCCTTGGCACAGTGGGCTTTCCTGCACCAGTGGCCCTCTGGCAGCAATTGTCCACCGCCAATTGCCCTTTGGCACTAAGGGAAGGGTCTAGGACTTTTAGGCTCCTACCTTTGGCCGTGCCTGCTTTTCCAGGGTTCCATCCCCGCCCCCATCCTTTCACCCTGGCACATGGGCCACAGCCCCTCTGTCCCAGTCCCTTTGCCATGGCTCATTTGTCGAAGTACGGTTCGTGTGGGCACATGATACAATTTGCCACCAGCCAATCGGCTGGCTGCCAATGCTGGCAACCAGAAGTCACAGCATGATTGATGCAGGGGCTGGGAGGCTTTGGAGGAGGTGATGCAGCCAAATGGCCTCAGGCGCTTGTTAGGAGAAGGAAGGGGAGTGGTGGACGCTCCCCTGTACCTGATCGTGCCTCTCTGACACCAAACGGGAAGAGAAGAGTGGGGGGTAGGTAACCCTAACCCTAACCCAGTTCCTGCATCAATCGTGCTGTGACTTCTGGTTGCCAGCATTGGCAGCCAGCCGATTGGCTGGTGGCGAATTTTCCGGTGTGCCCAAACGCCCAACATGAACTGTAGTTCGACGAATGGGCCGCGGCAAAGGGATTGGGACAGAGGGGCCGTGGCCCGTGTGCTGGGGCGAAAGGATGAGGGCGGGCCAGCCGGGGAGAAAAGCTGGTGGACAATGGGTGAAGCAGACACGGCCAAAGGTAGGAGCCCAAAAGTCCCATTCCGCTAGAGGAATGGTCTCATTGATCCAGGCCCATTCCCTGAGGCATGGTTTTACCCTGGCATTTTGCTGCACCAGACAAGTAGCTGCCAGCCAATCGGGGGTGAACAGCAACAATGGTGCTGGGAGGGTAGTGCGTGATTGGTGGTGGGGCGAGCGAGGCAGTTGTGGGGGCAAGTGAGGCGCTATGGGGCAGCACACAATTTACAGCAGGCGGGGTAATTGGGGGATATGGGGTGCAGTACATGATCCCCATGGGGCAATCACGGGGATATGGGGGCAGTGCGCTATTGGCGGCAGGCGGAATGATCGTGGGGCTGTGGGGGAACAAATGAGGGGCATGTGAGCCATTGCAAACTAAGGCAACCCCGCCCAACTCCACCTCTCATGCAAGCTATAAAAGCATCTTGCAAGCCATATTGGCCTGCACACCCAAATCCCATGCAGGCTGGGATGTCTTTGCATGACCTGAAGCCAGAGGGACCGAGAACATGTAAAGCCAGCCAGCTTGGACATTTGGCTCGGTCAATCAGCAATTTAAGCTAAAAGCAGAAAGGCCAGGTTTGGTTTTTTCCTTTCTTGAGCTCGAAGAAGCTGTTGGCTGCCAGGAATTTAATCATCTTGATTAGCCCAGAGCAACTGCAGGAATTGGAAAACAGTGCCAGCTTCCATGTTTCACGAAACCATAAAGAGGAGAGAAGGTGAAGCCCGACAGCCCCGAGTTTGTTGCAAATGCAGAATTCCAGATTAAAGCCGGGCAGCTGGCTTGAAGGCCCTTGTTTGCCCCCCCCCCAGTGCCTGCCCCGCTCAGTGCCAATTGCACCCTGCCCTCCACAGTCCCCGCGATTGCCCTGCCTGCCACCAATTGCACATCGCCTCTCTACAGCCCCTGCGATCACCCCATTCACTCTCAATCATGCACCACCCCCACAGCTCCTGCAATCACCCGCCCGCTGCCAATTGCATGCCACAGCCCCCACAATTGCCCGGCCCGCTGCCAATTGTGCACTGCCCTCCATAGCCCCCATGATTGCCCCACCCACCACCAATCACACGATGCCCCCACAGTCCTCGTGATTGCCCCACCCGCTGCCAATTGCATGCTGGCTCTCCAGCACCATTTCTCCCACCCACCGTCCAATTCTCTGTCAGTACTTGTCCAGAGCAGCTAAACATCCAGGTAAAATCGTGCCCCAGGGAATGGCTGGGATGCTGGGCGTGGAGCTCCAGGGAGCCAATGGTGGTGGACAATTGCTGGCAGACAGCAGTGGAGGAGTAAAGCTGGTGCCAAGAGTCGGCACCTAAATGTCCCATTCCAATAATGAGAGTAATAAAAAAGCTTTCTTGACAGCGTATTGCTACCACTGCATCATAGCAGAGTTATGCCACATGGCTTACTGTCACAAATGGAATGTTAGTATCTAAGGATGTGCCAAAGTTGGGCTCACATTGAGCATTCTGAACCAAGAGATTCTTTTTTAGTTTGGCTTCTTCAGTACATATGCAATATCTCATACTAATAGTTGTACTTAACCTTACTCTTATTTGAAGGTGTTCCTGCTGTCCCTCCAAATGTGAATATGGCTAATGATGCTCTGTCTATTTTGGAGACCATAACATCTCTCAACCAAGAAGCCAGTGCCACCAGGGCTTCTACAGAAGCAACCAACACCAAGACAAATGAGAGATTCTCAAAGAAACTCCTATCTCAGCACAGTTTGGATGGCAGCATAGAGAGAGACCGTAATGCAGAAGATGTTGCTGATGGAGAAAAAACTCCTTGTAACTCTACAGAAGAAAGTTTTGAACCAGTAGTAAACTGTGAAGATACAAGTAATTCATTTTGTTCAAACGAAGAAGGGAAAACTATATCAAAAGAAGCTAGTAGCCTGCTTAATCCAAGCAAGGAAAATTTTCAGGAAAGCGATGAACAAAAAAGTAAAGTGGTGGATAAATGTGATAGAAAATTGGAAAGCTTGGAAAAAGGCGAAAAGAAGAAAGAAAAGAAAGAAAAATCTGACAAAAAAGTAGATTTCTCGAAGAGAAATGGTGTTGATGTAAAAGCAAAAGAAGAAAAGACAATAAAAGACAAAGAGACAGAAGTGATAAAACATTTAACCCTGGAAAAGAACACTAGTAAAAACAAAAATGAAAATACAAAAGAAGGTATAATATCACAGGTGTTTATTCATTATGAACAGGTTGAAACAAATGGAAGGGATTTTTAATTTATTTGGAAAGTTTTGATATAGGTGAAAAGATATTGGCATTACATTTTATTGGTTGACTTTAGAATTTTTTTTTACCTCAGCATTGTAATTTTCTAAAGATTTTAGCTTACTGGATTTAGAGAATACTTCAGAATATAATTTGTTTTATAGACATAGCAGATAACATGTTGGCAATATAATACTAAATATTGTGATGAATGTTTTTATCTATCTCAAACCATACCTGTTCATTGCTTGTAGCGAGTATCTTTGCACTCTTTTCTTAGTTTTTAATTGCCCTTGTTTCAGATTTTTAAACTAGAACGGTTTCTTTTTACTCTTCTCTACTACCCTGTGCACTACGTTTGAAAGGAGATATTACTGCATTTAAGTTTTCAGCCAATTTTTCATCAGATCATTTTTTTACAATGTCTCATTTTCATGTTGCATTTTGAGATTCTTATCCTTTGCTTTCTCTTCAGGATCCTTTATTTCTCATTTTATGGTGTTTTGCATTTTAATTTCTTTATATGCCAGGAATCTTTTCTATAGGATGGCTTTTTATACTTGCATGTTTTGACAGTTTCATCATTTAACAATCTTTTCAAAATACATTAATTTCTTTCTTTTTTTTTGGTAGTAAAGTTTTTTTATTTTTAAACAGACAGACATACATACAATATATCTTTTCTAGACAGAACATTGACCAGGTCATAAATTTGTACAAATTTTTGTTCATCTTTAAAACAATTTTGTACCTTCAATTTTTGGCATAACATTTATTTCTCTCTAATTTTAAAAAATCTGATGTTACCCTTCCTCTTAACTTAATTCAAATTTTTCTTTTTCCTCCCTAAAATTTGATCCCCTTAATTCGCATTGACACAACATAATATCATCTCCAGTTATTTATCAAATATACCAAATAATACCTTTATTTCACATTTCTACTCATTCAACATATTAATAAAAACCAATTAAATCTAACTCTTACCCCAATATGACAACTATTATAGTCTTATATGTTAAACTTATTCATATTTCTAAATCTATTACAATTTTTAAACTTCCATACAATTTTGCCCTTCTTCTTAACTTCTATTCCTAATATAATTCAATTTTTCTTTTTCTTCCCTAAAATTTGAACCCTAAATTTGCATTCACACAACATAATATCATCTCCAATTTCTTTATCTAATATTCCAAATGATACAATTATTTCCGGTTTTTGTTCTAGTTTCCCTAATTAATTAAGAGTGTTCAAAAGAAAGTCAATTGAGTAAAAATCTTAATTCAAATAATACACCATAATGCAGTTCACAACCATTTCCTTAAATTCTCTCTATTCCCAATAGTACAATTCAACAACTTTAGAGAAACCAAATAAATATATTTTTTCCACTCAGTTCATTGTCTCATATCATTTCAACTTTCTTTTCTTTTTTGTTCAATTCCAAATATATAATTAAAAATATTCCAATTATTACATTCATAATACATAACATATGTTAAATTGTTTAGTTAATATCAAAATTCTCCCTTTCCATTTTTGTATTTTTTTTCTTTTTCTTTCCCTTGCTTTTCTTTTGTGCTTTAAGTTCCTGAACTCTCTCCTCCCTTTTTCTTATCTTTCCACTGCAATCATTTTGTCTTTTAAAGTCATAAACTCTTCTGTTTTGCCCTGCATTTCTCCTTATTTTCCATCCCTTTTCCCTTTTTCTTTTCCGACTGATAATTGCAGCGTAATCATTTAAATCTTTTGTATTCTTTCTATTCCACCCTCTTTTTCCCCCCCCCCTTTTCTGTTTTTTCCATTAATTTAATTTTAATATAATCTCTGGAATTCTCCTTTTTATTATTACTAGCCCCATAATCATTTAAGTTTCCATAGTCAGTTTCTTTGTCTGTGTCGTCTTCTTTATTATCAGTCTCTTTTTCTTGCTTCTCCATGATTATTTCCTTGTCAATCTGAATAAATTCTAAGTCATTTTTTAGATCATCAGGTTTCGGTTTTCCATGTAGTATTATAGTCATTTCCCTTATTTCCATCTTCAATGATAAGTACATCATTTTCGTCATTTCCTTAAGTTCCTCCATTTTGTATTTTTCAGTTAATATTATTCCAGTTTCAAATTGCGTTGTAATCCTCCTTCTTTAATCATCAAAGTCACACTTATAGACAAATAAACCTCCTTAAAGATTCACAGCTGTCTCTTTCAAAGTTCAAGGTTTATTATTATTATTTATTTTATTTTATTTTATTTTATTATTTTATTTTATTTTATTTTATTTTATTTTATTTTATTTTATTATTTTATTTTATTTTATTTTATTTTATTTATTTTATTTTATTTTATTTTATTTTATTTTATTTTATTTTATTTTATTTTATTTTATTTTATTTTATTTTATTTTATTTTATTTTATTTTATTTTATTTTATTTTATTTTATTTTATTTTATTTTATTTTATTTTATTTTATTTTATTTTATTTTATTTTATTTTATTTTATTTTATTTTATTTTATTTTATTTTATTTTATTTTATTTTATTTTATTTTATTTTATTTTATTTTATTTTATTTTATTTTATTTTATTTTATTTTATTTTATTTTATTTTATTTTATTTTATTTTATTTTATTTTATTTTATTTTATTTTATTTTATTTTATTTTATTTTATTTTATTTTATTTTATTTCTATACCGCCCTACTCCCGAAGGACTCAGGGCGGTGCACAGCCAAACAATAAAACACATACATACAAAATTTAAAAGTAGAATAAAATCAAATTAAATAATTTTGGCCCCAACAAATTTAAAACCCCAAACTTTTAAAACCAATTTAAAATTGAATGTATAAAATACTAAAAGATATTTAAAAATTAAAAATCTTTTATAAAAATCTTTTATTTCTGTTTTTCCAAAACAGAAATTCAGCATTGTAATGCTCCTTTTTTTTTTCCATCTGAAAATGGTTCTCTATAATCCACAATTGTAATCAGCAACCTAGAAGAGTATCCATTTTGTTTGCAATCCACATTAAACAGTCTTTGCTTATTTAATTTTCCTCCTTCTTCCTTTTCACTTTTATAAGCACCAAATCAGTTTAAAAACTCGGTCCAAATTTACACAGTCTACATTTCAATTTACTTTCCAATTCAATTTCAAATTAAAGTCTTTAACCAATCCTTTCTACTGCGGGCTTTTCTTCCCTCTTTAAACTTCTTTTAAAGTTCACTAACTAGAGAAAAATCTTTCGGATTGTCAATTCTTCTAATTTTTTTTTTTTATGTTCTCCAAATATTTGAATCCAACACACAATTTTCTGATTGGGTTTTTTTTTTCACTTTATAGCTTCCGCTTTACTCTTCTTCTTCCGTCCTTTCACTCCTATTAGCCGCTGTTTAACCGCTAGGACTTTTACAATTATTTTTAAAATAGTCTTTTTTCTCTCTCTCTCTTCTGCCTGTGATTTAGCTGTCACTCACCCGGCATCGATGTTCTGCTCACTTCTCTGCTCCTGCACAGTGCTTGATCCGGTTGCCCCAGCTTAGTTGGCAGACGCAATGGCCACCGCCCCCCGCTGCAGAGTCAGGGAGTGTTTCCTCTGACCTTCGAGGAACTTGCCTGTTCCTCTTAGTCTTACGAGGTGCCTCTCTTCTTCCCTGTCCCTACAGGACAGGTCCAGTCCGAAGACCCTTCTGCAGCGGTTCATCAGCCTGGGATTTCACGAGGCTCGTCAGAGCCCGCTAATCCCCAACTGTCTCGCTGCGACGCTTCCAGTCGAATCCCAAAATACATTAATTTCTCACAGAAGATATGCTTAAACTCTTTCATATGTTTTATTCAGTTTTAATTACTGCTAGGTTACTGTTACTATTAGCTTCTCTTTCTTTATACTCCTTTATTTCATCTAAAGCAATTGATATCTCTTCCATCTTCTTTTTTGCCAAATTTCTTGTCCTCTTTTCATAGGTATTACGTTAAAACCTTCTTGCATTATTTTGATTTCTTGTTTTATGTGTTTATTAAGGTAGTTCTCTTGCTACGGCCATTTTCAGCATGGTGCCCTCCTGGTTGATGGCATGTCAGACACTGAAATTCCAAGCTGGTTTAACTAATGGCTATCCTGCGAATTATGGGAAATTGGAATCCCAGTGTGCCTGGAGGGTGCCAGACTGGAGAATGGAAGCCTGAGGGTTGGCATTTCATTGAGGAGGAAGACTTTCATGACTGAATAGTCATGAATATTTTAGGACAAAATATTTTCATTTCTGTCTTATTTTACGATGATGCTCAGTTTCTGCACTGAGACCTTTTTACATACATGCACACCTTTTGCAGACTAATGAAGAGAAAGACTTCTAAAGGTCATTTTCTTCAACAGTACTTTGGAAGGTAGGTAGTGGCAGGCATGAATGGAGCTGTTTCTACTTTCTTGTGGGTTGTTTTGGATTCTGGATCAGATTTTAAGTCATCTCTGTTTTTTTCTCAACTAGTGTTGGAAGATTCTGATGTGGACATACTGAGTGATATTACTGTTAGCTCTGTGCATACCAGCGACCTTTCTTCGTTTGAAGAAGATAGTGAAGACATGCTTTCTGATAGCACAGAAGAAGGAGAAATTGTTTCTGATGGTAAAGTAATCGACCTTTGGCTAATGAGAAGAATAAAAGTATGAATTTGTTTTTCCTTAAATACAACTCCCTTGTATACTTGTGGTACTATTAGTTGGAATGATTGAATATTACGTACATTCAGTGCAGTGTACCACAAAAACCCAAATAAATACAGTTCTTCACTGCATGAGACTGTTCCTGAAATGGATTAAAATTAGCTTGAATGTGATTTTAAATGCTTGCATGGGCACAGAATACAAGCAAAGATTGGTGAGAAAACTCTTCTTGGCAAGACAAGGTATAAACATCCCTCTTGCCTTAACAAGTAGCCTGGATCTGTCTGTTCTCATATATTTAGATACCACATAAATGAAAATAATGTTATTTCTAAATATATTTGTTATTTAATATGATGTGTTCTGCATTAACCACAAACCATAAGTGGGCTCTCATTTAGCAAAACTCATTTTATGTTCAATAGAATGAGAGCTAGTTTGGTCTAACGGGCTAGAAATCAGGAGGCTGTTAGTTCTAATCATGCCATAGGTAGGAAAGCCAGTTGAGTTGACTTTGAGCCAGTCATTTTCTCTCAGTCCATGATGTCAGTTCCTATGGCAACCAATGAATCAACATTCAGTTCATCTTAAAGCAGAACCTACACTTGCAGGAAAAAACGCTAGGAAGAAAAAATGTATTTAATAGATATCAGGCAAACTATAGCATAATGTCCTTTGTTCATAAGAACAGAGTCAGTTTGTTAATGTATATGGAAAAGTCATTTGAAACATTTCGGTATTTTGTTGTTGTTAGGGTATGCTTTTGTTTTATCTTGATTGATTTGTATTTTATTTTCTATGGTAAAACAATAAATATTAAGAAAATTTTAGTATTTTAAGTTCAGAAAGTTGCATTTAAATACTTAGCTGATTGCTTGCTTTGATCTTCACTGTCTGTACTAAAAGGATAATTCTGTGCTTTTACTGGCTGGAATATCTGGAATCAATTCATAGTTTTCCTAAGATAATTGTAGCTGAGGCTATCGAATAATAGACAATATGCAATATAGCAATAGCATTTAGACTTATATACTGCTTCATAGTGCATTACAGCCCTCTCTAAGCAGTTTACAGAGTCAACATATTGCCCCAAACAATCTGGAACCTCATTTTACCAACCTTGAAAGGATGGAAGGCTGAGTCAACCTTGAACCTGGTGAGATTCGAACTGCCAAATTGCAGGCAGCCAGCAGTCAGCAGAAGTAGCCTGCAGTACTGCATTCTAACCACTGCGGCTCATATAGCAATATTACAATTCCAGAATCTTGTGGTAAAAATGGAAGCTAAATTTACTGTGATCTGTAGTTCTGGATTTACCATAATAGTGGGATAATAAAATAATGTGGGATTTTAACATATTATTTCTAACAATATATATTAATAAATTATTGTTGTTATTTTGAACAGATGGAGGATAGCTAAGGCTAGGATCCTTAAATGCCAAAATATTTTTTGCTTTCAGATAGAGTGATGGTTTTTCATTTCCAGCTACAGTCCCTTCCATACAACATCAGTTTTGAGAAAGGGTTTGGTTGAGAAAGGATTTTCACTTACCTTGAGGGTAGTATCTGGTTCTTTGGATCTTAGCCTATATCTAAATTATAAAATGAGCATTTCCTCATACTTTTGTTCTCAACTTTTATCTAGACGAGGAAGATGAATGCAGCCAGATTAAAGCAAAATCAGACACAGAAGGGACAAATGATAAAAAAACAAAATCTGGACGACATGCTTACATCCACAAGCCTTACCTTTATTCCAAGTATTACAGTGATTCAGATGATGAAAGAACAGTGGAGCAACGTCGCCAGTCAGTTGTAAGCTAAATTGCTCTTTTATCTCTCCTTAATGAGTGGAAGTTTCCCTGAATGAATGACCCTCTGAAAAATTTCTTCCAGCATCACATGATCATTTATAACGCAGCAGCTTGTTCTGTGCTCGAAGCTGAGGGTTCTGGGTCACAGAAGTGCTTGCTCCATTTTCTTATGAATATCAACTTGTCAAAAGATTGGCAAGGAAAATTTTGTACATATGCAGTCCCAAAGATGCTTTTTCAAGAGGCAACTGGATTTTTTTGTTTTTCTTTGAAGATGTTTCACTTCTCATCCAAGAAGCTTCTTCAGCTCTGACTGGGTGGTGGGAAATGGAAGGATTTATACTCATTGCAGATAACTGATTATTTACATTCTTTTAGAGAGTTGTTGGGCCACCTGGAGGTCAGGGTCACTTGTGGTGCAAATGGGTGTGGAGCCTTCTTGGAACTGTTGAAAGAACTGTTGTAGACTGGAGATAGATGATGTTGTATCCCTCCCCCTTTGTTGAGAGAGGGCTGTTCAATTTTGGCATAGGTGGCCTCTTTGACTCCTCTTTCAAACCAGTGGTCCTCTGTCCAAAATGTGGACTTCACCGTCTTCAAAAGAGCGGCACAACATAGAACAAACCCATCAGGATAAGACCAGTGGGAAATAGATGGAATTCCAGGGATCAGTGACCTCACTTTAGAAGAATATTCCTTCAGCAGCATCTTCTAGACTTAATCTAACAGGAAAAGATCTGATCCATTGTGAAACAAGACTCCTAAAGCCCAGCCTGGCAGGCAGTCTAGAATAATAGTATGGTAAAGGGTAGGAAAGAGTTGCTAGGAAATACAAGCCAATTGGCAAGGTCTCCCTTCCCCCATCTAGTTTCTGGCATAAATCACTCATCAAGATGATTAGAGCAGTTTTATTATTGTCTCCCAGCCAAATAGAATCTACTACATCTAGATAGAATCATACAGATGGAAGGGACTTTGGAGATCTTCTAGTCTAACCCCCTGCCCAAGGCAGGAGTCCTTATTCCATCCTGGACAAATGATTGTCCAGTATTTCCTTTAAAATCCCCAGTGATGGGGCACCACAGTTCCAGGAGACTTTTTTTTTTACTGTTGACTTTTTTTAAATAAGTAACCAAAGTGGCTCAGAACAGGTAAGACCTAGCTGTTCTTATGGAGCGCACAAAAAATGTACCATTGATTGATTTGTTGCCTGGTTTTGGATGGCACATGAAAGCATGCTAAGTTAAGTAACCACTGTGGACTATATTTTTTTAACCAACATCTTCAAGGGACTGCAGGGAGTACAGTCTTAAATTTTAACAGGCTGCAGTAGACATATATCACACAAGTTGACTCCAAGATGCTTAGGAGTATTAAAGATAGCATATTCTACTAGATCTTGCAGACCTTCAAACATAGCAGAAGAACAATTCCCAGCTTCCCTTAGCACTGTCTGTACTGAATGAAGCTGCCAGAAACTATAGTTGGACAACTTCTCGAGAGCCACAGGAGGGAAATGTGTGGTCTGCTTTGTTTTCTGATACACCAGAATCCAGTTAATAGTGATGCTTCACATGGGCTCATAAACTTAGGTAATAAAGGGAAATTTGGATAAGGGAACTGAAAGCCTGTCCATGTCTTACTCTGGATCACACACTTTCCCACCCTATTTGTATCTTCAGGCTAGAGAAAAAGAAGAGAGATTTCTGAGGAGACAGCTTAACAGAGAAAAACTTGAAGAAAAGAGGAAACAGAAAGCTGCAGAAAGAACAAAATCTCTGAAAATCGGCCATCAAGGTATTGAGTTTTACTTTATGCCAATCTTTCTTGCAATGCTTTACTACTGGATGCATTTTTGGCAAACCAGTGGAAGCCTCCTTTATTCTGAAATCATGGAAATATGAGATACAGCAGCTTGATATGTTCTGGTATTATTTTAGGTAAAAGCATTCAAAATTTGGAAGACCTTTCAAGAAGAAGCTTTGATCTAAAAACTGGTGGTGCCAGCATTAAGGATGTGCTTAAAGAACAAAGATTTTTGGAAAAGAAAGTAGCACTAAGCAGGAAAAGAAAAAGAGAATCAAGGTATACCTTCATTTTCTTTTACGTTAAAGTGGTGTTACATTCATGCTGGCATATTACAAATTTGATTTGTGGTTTTCAGGTAGTAATCACTGAAGACATGCTTTGCTTGTGTGATTTTTTAAAATTCAGTAAATTAGTTATAGGAAGTGCTTGACTTACAACGGTTTGTTTAGTGACCATTTAAAGTTACAATGGCACTGAAAAAACAATGCATAACTATTTTTCACACGACCATTGCAGGATTTCCATGGTCATTTGATTAAAATCAAACTGACTCATGGCAACTGACTCATATTTATAATGGTTGTAGTGTCCCGGGGTCATGTGATCACCATTTGCAACCTTCTGACAAGCAAAGTCAATAGGGGAAGCCGGATTCACACTACAACCATGTTACTAAGTTAACTGCAGTGATTCACTTAGCAACTGTGGCCAGAAAAGTTGCAAAATGGGTCAAATTTCACTTAACAAATGTCTTGCTTAGCAACAGAAATTTGGGCTCAATTATGGTTCGAAGTCAAGGACTACCTATACTTTATTATAAGTCACTGACATAACATGCATATACAAAAATTAAATTAAATAAGAATGTTAGGCTTACCCCAGTTAAGCGCTAGGAAAGAAAGGCCATCAACTCCATTTGGTTGAACTGTTCCTGTGTAAGAGATTACAAATTTTCCCCTTCTCCCTGGCCTTCCTCGCCTTGACTGGTTCATCTTCGACCAGTAGTGTACCAAGTAAGTGTTCTGGGAACTGCTCAGATGTTTGGTGCCTCATGGTGCAATTTGCATTCCTTTCTCAGGCTCTGTGGCCTTGAAGACTGGAACAAGATGGTTCTCACACCTCTGGTTTCCATCAAACCTGTGTCTGCCCCCCGCCCCTTTTAATTATCTCTACCCTCTGCATGCCAATTGCCTACTTCCCTCTCTAATGATTGATTGCAGGATGCCAGCAAGGCACCAAGCTGAAGATGGCAGATCTGACATTCTGCCCCTCTTTTCAGACACATTAATCCTGCAAAGAAAACACAAGCAGGGGTGGGAAAGGGAGATACAAATACGAATACAAGATTATTTGATGTTCAATGAGGCTTGTCCAGGTATTGTCTATGGAATTTCTTAAGAAATTTGAAAGCTCTAAGGTGTTGTAAATCCACCCATTTTGTTTCGGAAGGTGGAAAGTCTTTTCATGCCACTAAGGTTTTCACCTAGTGTGTGTGTGTGTGTGAATTCAAAATGTCTTTGATGTCCTTCATGAGGGGTAATGGTTAAACATTTTCCATGCAAATACCATTAACGCCAAAGTAGTCTATGCATAGACATAGCGTACGAGCTTTCTTTTCTCTGAAAAGGATTGGGGTGGCCACCCAGGGTTTGGCTGGTTGTATGAACCGATGCTTTATGATCTTATCTATGAATGATTGGAGCTCTTCAAACTCCTTGGGGGTCATTGAATATAGCTTGGGCTTGGGAAGCTTAGCCCCCAGTAGGATTTCTATGGAACAGTCAATGGGGTGATGAGGGAGTAGCACATCCGAGCTCTTTTCACTAAACACGTGTAGATCCCAGTACTCCTTGGGTATCAGGGATCCCCCTTAGGGTGTTTTCTAATGGCTGTCCCCATCTCTTTCTTTGTTTTCTTCCTCATTGGTGCCAGCAGCCTCCACTTGGGTTCATCCCTGGGCACTTTTTGTTGAATCTTTAATAGCCCCCTCCTTCAGTTCACATAAGAGTTCCATTTCAGTAGCCATGCTACACCCAGGACTAGGGGCCTCTCCATGCCTGGTGCCACAATGAAGCTTAGAATTTCTATGTGGGCCCTCATCCTCATCTTTATGGGTGTTGTGGCCCCCCAGCTGCCAGCAAAGCTGGCGGTAGACTCGGACGATGAGGTTGGGGAAGAACTTGGGCCGGTACCTGGATGAAGCCGATTATCTAGACCCGTTCCAGTCAGGCTTCAGGCCAGGGCACAGCACGGAAACGGCATTGGTTGATGATCTCTGGAGGGCTCGGGACAGGGGTTGTTCCTCTGTCCTGGTCCTATTAGATCTCTCAGCGGCTTTTGATACCATTGACCATGGTATCATGCTGTGACGATTGGAGGGGTTAGGAGTGGGGGGCACCGTGTTGCGGTGGTTCTCCTCCTTCCTCTCCGACCGTACGCAGTTTATGTTGGCAGGGGGGCAGAGGTCGACCTCGAGGTGCCTTGTGTGTGGGGTGCCGCAAGGGTCTGTCCTCTCACCTCTTCTGTTCAACATTTATGTGAAGCCGCTGGGCGAGATCATCCGTGGTTTCGGAGTGAGATTCCATCAGTACGCTGACGACACTCAGCTGTACATCTCCACTCTGAACCACCCCAACGATGCCTTTGACGTGATGTCCCGGTGCCTGGAGGCCGTGCGGATCTGGATGGGGAGAAACAGGCTCAAACTCAACCACTCCAAGACTGAGTGGCTGTGCTTCTGGCGTATAGTCGGCTGGCGCCATCGCTGACAATTGGGGGATGAGATCTTGGCCCCACAGAGAGGGCTCGCAACTTGGGTGTTCTCCTGGATGCACGGCTGTCTTTGGAAGAGCACATGACGGGGGGGTGGAGCCTGACAGCCTGATGAGCCGGTAAGAGTTTTTCCCGGCTCCGGAATAGTGGGCCGATAAAATTTATCATCTAACTAAAATGGACAGAAATTTGTGAAGGACTGTTTATGATTATCTGGGCCAACAGCGGAGGAAAAAAGAGAGTTGTTTGGGACAGTGAAAAACCAATAAAGAATGTTTAAAGTGTGGGGCCTAATCACTGTTGTTGGAATGCCACAGAAGAATGTTTGGAATTGTTTTTAGACAGCAGCTAGCTTCAAGGAGTGATTAATAACTTTACAACCTTACACGGTTAAGCAGCCCGTTTTATTACAAACAAAAAAGAAAGAAAGAAAAACACCCTCTGGAAGCAGAAGGTTTATTTGATTGTTGCCCAGGCTTTGAAGATTTATGCCACCGAAAAAACAAAAAGGTGTTAGCAAATATAAGTGGCAACGTATCCATCCTTCAAATCACACCGCGGCACGATTAAAAAGACAATCTCTGGGTGAATCAGAGCAAGAGAACTCAGAAAGTGAAACAATAATGGCGGCGAAAACTGGCTCACAGCCAGCAACAGTCGATGAACTCAGAGAAATGCTGACTGGCACTAAAGAGGCGATATTCAAAAGAATGGATGATTATGCAGAAAAAGTTGACAAGCGCATGGACCAATTAGCTATAAATATTGGTCATAATGATAAACAGATTAAGCTTCTTAGAGTGGAAACTGACCAATTAGGGAAACAAATGAGGCAGTTGGAAGAAAAGCACACTCTGGAGTTTGATGACCATGAGAAAAGGCTGATTTCTCTGGAAGATCAAAGCAGACGATCATCAATACGAATTCGAAATTTACCAGAGATGGCAGGAGAGGACTTGAGGAAATTGATCCCACAATGGTTTAAAGAAATAATCCCTAACTTGGCCACGGGAGAAGAGGACATTGAACGCATCCACAGAGTGGGCGCTTTCAGAGCTGGATTTCGTCCCAGAGACATTTTGGTAAAATTTTCTAATTATGATAAAAAAGAGCAGCTGATGATGAAACTGAGGTCGTTAGCTTTGCTGAAGTTTCAAGGATCTACAGTTCAAGTTTATAACGATCTTTGTTACCAAACAATTAAGTGGAGGCGTAGCATTAAATCAATCACCGAAGAGCTCAAGAGAAGGGAGATAAAGTATGCATGGGGATACCCAGTATTTATGAGGCTTATGTATGATGGGAAACAATATAGGATTATCTCTTTGGAGCAAGGCATTGAGCTACTTAAAAGTCTGGGGCTGGAATTACAGGACGATACTGTTCTTAAAAGTGCCAGTGGTGGAGGAAGAGGAGCCACGGCAAGTGGGAAGTGAAATCGACAAGACTGAGATGATAAATCTGTAAAATATTAATACTAGAAGGCTTGCTGGTTCTGAACTGTGGGCTTCATATCCCCCCCCCCCCCCCGTTAAGGGAATGGCTGGAGCATTAGGCTACCGGGGATTTAGTGGGGGGAAAAGAGTTTGGGGAGATTTGGGGGTGGGGGGATGGGGAAGGGGGTAGGTTATGAGGGTTATTTAGTTGAGTTCGTTTTGTGTTTTCTTATATGTTGCTTTAAGTTAAAGTGCACAAGGGATCGTAAAGAATTTGTATGTGCTGAATATGGATAAAATTATAAGAATTACAACACTCAATGTCAAAGGTTTGGGGGCAGTGGTGAAAAGGAGGAGAATCGAACAATTGTTAAACAAGGAAAGATCTGACAGCATTTTCTTGCAGGAAACTCATCAGGATAAGGATGGAGTAAATGAAGTGCGTTTGAAGTGGTCACTCCATTATGAAAAGTCACTGGGGACTTCAAAAAAAAATGGGGTGGCCATACTGATTTCTAAAAGAACTGGATTTACTATGGAGAGTATAAAAAAAGATGGGCATGGTAGATTTATTATGATTAAAGGTCAAATTGAAAGTACAACATATACGTTGGTTAATGTTTATGCCCCAAATGTGGGACATAGAGAATTTTTTTTAGAATTGTTTAAAGTAATAGAAGAATTTAAAGAAGGACATGTCATTTTAGGTGGAGATTTTAATATGGTTATGAATAATAGATTGGACAGGACCAATCCCACAAGTGCTGAAAGGAGGAATAATATCACAATTTTAAATAAATTAATAAAAGAAAAAGATTATGTGGATGGGTGGCATTTTCTTAAAGGTGGGGAGCCCGGTTTCACATATTATTCCCCAACCTATAAATCCTATTCTAGAATTGATTATGTTTTCGTTTCTAGGGATATGGCAACTAAGTTGAGTAGAATGGAAGTGGGAGTAATTAAAGTAACAGATCATGCGGTGATTAGTTTAGACTTCATGGTAAAAAAAGACTATAGAGAAGTGGTTAGATGGAAGGTGACTACAAGGATTCTTAAAAATGAGAA